GATCACACAGAGCTCAGATAGTCAGGACCACTGCTGTACGGCGGTTTAGGTGTACTGGTTAAAGTCACATGACGGCCTGGGAACTCACTTACTTAAGCCAGTGGTTCCCACCTTTTTTTCTTAAGGGACCAACTTGCTCTCATTGGGTAAAGTGACCGCTGATTGAGTGAATTTTTGTATGAACATTTCATATTATATTCAGTGCATAACAACAACAGTACAGAACAACTGATAAACTGTACAATGAACCCAAACAGTGAGCACAATAACTGTGTTCCTGTGAAAAATAGTTTTCCTTTATTATATTTTTAGCAACTTTTAATACAATTCTCTGTTTGTATTAGGCATATATATTTTATATTACACATATACAATTATACGTAGTTAATAGGCTTACTTTTTGACAAATTCTGTGTTTTTTTTCTCCCTGATGCTTGGCCATTGTTATATGAGCTATTTGTTGTTGTTGTTGTTTAGTTTATATTGTTAACAATAATCTGAATCTAAAACAACAACTTAATTTAGTTTTCTTCACAGAAACACAACAAACTGCTGAGATATAGGCCCATTGTGTATATTTCTTAGTTTTCTTGCATACCTTAAAATCAAAAGGGCCTCGCTATGAAGTTTTGGTGACCCCTAGTGGAGGTCCTGACCACAGGTTGGGAACCATTGATCTAAATGATTAGTAATAAAAGTATGAGTCAGTATTTCAGCTTCCTTTTGACTTAAAAAAGATTTAACTTTGGCAATATTCCTAAAATGAATTAGGATGCTTTAATGACCTTGTAAATTAATATAAAATGATATATTAAATATCAGCTGCTGATATGATATATGCAGACGACCTGGTTAAAGTCATCCGTCCTCTTCAGATGTCCGACCTCCACACAATTAACATTATCAGTAGGAGTGTTTCCATCCAGCTCCCTCCCGCCAGTCACATTGGAGTCAGACATGACTGACTAATCTGCAGAGGGTCAGAGGTGAGTGTGGCTCTGCCAGCCTCTGGAGGGTTTTCTCTTCACACCTGCCCAAATGAGATGATGTCAGTGTGTGCGTGGGACGGGTTCTTATTCCTTTTGTCCATCTCAAACCTGTACAAATCACTCGGGGGTGACATGCTGTAGAAATGAGGCATGAAAAAGAGGCAAGCCACTAAAAACAGGATTGTTTTCTTGTTGCATCTGGCCACAATGACTTACTGTAGCATTTTTTTCTAGCATCTTTTAGCCATACCTAACAGTTAAAATGTTAACTTTTCCACAGTGAGCTTTTTGATTATCTTCTGCCCACTGATGAGCAGCAGCACATATTATTAGCAGATCAGCACATTTCATTTCTCTTCCTTCTGCCTCTTTCCTGATGTGTACCAGAACACAGGCTGTCACATGCTGAGGGAATGCACTGAAGCCTACAGGCTGCGCAGTGTGACTGACTCATTGCTCTCCTGCCTCGATGGTTTGGTCTCTCATGGCTGGCCCAGGTGCCTTCTGTGTGGATTAAGCATGTTTATGTGGGTTTCTTCTTTCCTGGCAAAGAGGCTGGGATAATATGAACCATGATGGACTGGTGACCTGTCCATGATGTTTTTGTCCACACATTGTCTGTCTCATGTACTACTGTCAGATACAATAAAAGTTTAAGCAAATATGACAGAAAGTTATTTTGCTAGAAGTTACCTACTGTAGCTTTCAGGGCACAAAGGACCTATAAAGATACAAATAAAAAGAAACAGTAAAAAAAAAGGTCAAAATGTAGTCAATCGTTGTTGTAGATTTAGTACAACATTTTACAATGACAGAATGTGTCAGGGACTCTTCCCTGTACTTGGTTTAGGCGTAGTAGACTATAAATGGCTTTCTTAGACATGCTTCCTCCAGTTCCACCACACTAAGAGCTTTGTGTTCCAGCAGTGACAAGCGGGCTCAGGCCAGAGCTGTGCATACATGCTCTCACTAATCAGGACTAGCAGAGGTGTTGAATTTAATCTGCTTTAATCTAATGGAAAACTGCATAGTCAAGAGGTAACTGATCAAATTAAAGACATACTTTTTATTAGCCATGCTAGCAGTATGGCAGTCTGTCCACATCTTTGGTCCAGACTGAAATATCTCAACCATTACTGGATGGTGTGAGATTTTGTATATAGATGTATATATGGTGCCCAGCCCATATGGGTTTACAAGAAACATCAGCCAAGATGGCCACATGCTTCACAAAAACAAAACAAATCATGAGTTTCAGTTGTCATGACCAAAATGTCTTATTATGTAATGTGCTCCGTCTTAATTGCCAATAATTTTCTATAAATCTTGCTAAAACAAAAATCTCCTTTCACTCAACATTTCACTTTCAGACAACCAAAATTAAACCGGGTTCTACAATTGGATTTTTTCAAACAGATGGTTCCTTAAGTCAGTGTACACAGGGCAATGAAAAAGAAAATGAAATCCATCCTCAAGAACACCAAGATCACAGAGAAACACAGAAAGTCCACTGGAGCTGTAATAATACAATAATAATGTCCAGAATTGGACCTGAATCATCAATAAACAACACTAGTAAATACCCATACATATAGGTTTTCAGCAGAAAAAGGGGGTTTTGGGGTTTAGTTACTCTTTAAGATTACTGCTATAATTGATATGATGAGATCTAGTTTTTGGAATTTTGTGTTTATTGGTTAAACTCCTCTGTCAAACACACACGCTAACTTGCACACACATGGATTATTATCCGTGAGGAAATACACTCTTTTCCAATGTGTACAAACACACTGTGTGGCTGCACATTTGTTTGAGTGTGAATGATTGAGTGTGCTGACAGGTCATGCTTAAACAAACACAGAATAAGAAATTCAAAGGCGCACTCACTCACTGTCTTCAATTACAGAGTGAAATCAGTGGAAAAGCCACAATCCATGTGAATAATAGATAAAAGGGCATTTTCCTCTTATTTAATCCAACAGCTCGTCCACATCTTAGAGAAAAGTGTCTGTCTTTCAGTGACACTTTGTTTTTGTCCTTTCATTACCTGAAAACCGTAGTCCGAGCTTCCTCACACAGCAACTCCCTGTACTGCTGCTTAGCCAGTTACTGGCTATTGTGTTATTACTAATTAACTGTAAACTTAATTATCATACATATTAGAGTCTACCTGTTAATTTGTTATTCAGTAATAATATTTTCTTCAGTCAAGTGGAAGGTTCTTTATTTCCTGAGGGTTTATGTCTTCATATAAAACTCTGGACAGGAGATAAGCGCCTCAAATTAATTTAAATGTTAAAAGAAAATAATCTGTGCAGGTTTGTAGCCTTGATCGTAGCAGACCCGAGGCATAAACAAATGACTCAGCCTCTTTTGGCCCTACTGCCAAGGGCCCACCAAAAAACTGATTAAAAACATGACGTTTTCTTGGGTCCCGCTTGTTACTTTTGTCATAATTAAATGTATTTATTCTTATTAGGCATTTATTCTTATTTGTTGAAATTCAGACCTGTTTTTGATTTATTTCTAAAAATTTCAACATTATTATTTATTTTATTTTGTTATATATTTAATGCTACAGAAGAGGGGGAGATGCTTAAGTTTCGGGTATCTTGGGGTCTTGTTACAACCCTGGGAAAGATGATCAGCTGGCAGATTGGCGTTGACTCTTGATTTACCCCTTAATACGTTTCAACCCTCAACTGTGGTCTTGGTATCTTGAATACAAGAGTTTCCTAGATACAGAATGTGAAGGAAACATCTGCTATCCTCACAATGTAAGCGTCTGGTTTACTAGATACAGGGTGGGGATGAAACACCCTCTATCCTCACCCTGTATCTAGTTTCACTTTGTATCTAGTTTTTCCAACTGCAAGAAACTGTTGGGAAAATATAAATGTAGGTTGTTTCAGGGTCATTCTCATTTCTTCTACAATTTCCTTGTGTTTCAGACAATGAGTTCATTTGAGTTTTTTTTTTAGTTTATTATACATGTTGTCACTGCGATAGCTACTTGTGCATTGACTGCAGTATTTCTTGTCAAAATAATTGTCAGTGTAATCTAATTTAAATTACTTTTAATGACAATGGTCCCTTTTCTTATGTAAGTGGGGGAAAATGAGACACTAATTGAACCTATTAAGATGATGGCATTAGGTAATGACTTGTATGATTACAAAATAAATGGAGCTTAACAGAAGTCTACTTCGCTTACATTTATTCCTCTACTCTTGTGCTTAGGCAAACATCACCTCTTTCCACATTTTCACTTTGAATTCTACGGCCAACTCTCTCTTAGAGCGAATCATCCAATCCCAGATATTTTCCTCTGCAGCCCACAGTGCCACTAGCTTTTCAAAAAGTAAAGGCAGATGACGCTGGCTGGTGGGAAGCTGTTGCTATGTGACGAAGGGCTCATTAGCCTGAAATGGGTCTGTGGAGCTTTGAGTTTATGAACTAGTCTCTCCTGATTGAATTGGATTTGCATTCAGACTGCCTCAACAAATGTTCTCAACAAAATACTCTGGCATCAGACCCGCTACACAAACTGCTTTCTGTAGGTTTTCTGTTTTCTCATTAAATACCATTATAGAAAAAATCAATTCAGTATTGAATTTCTAAAAAGCTTGATCCTTGAAACGCCTGGTAGCTTAATGGTCACAGTGTTTGCCA